ATGCTTTCAAGAGCAGCACTGGTACATTTAACTTTTGTTTTGGCCTCGCCTTCACCTATATATTTATATGCAACACGCAGATCCAAGACCTCGAATTTTCCACTTATTTTTGAAAAAGCACGGTTTCAAGGGTCAGCAACCTGTAAAATATATTAGTTTCTCCAATGTACAACCACCTTACTCCTAGGCAGTATAAAAGTGACAGTTTACCGACTCTCCCGCCTGCTGGTTAAGGATACTGGCTAATGGGATCAGGTCTCACCTTTTTGGGCTGTGTGTTTTGAGTAGACTTCCAATGAGATTTTCTTTCTTATATTTTTTTCGCTAAAATTAAAATATAGGTTAAACCCCCATTTTGGTCCCTCAACTATTGTATAGACCCCCAACTTAGTCCCTCAACTCAAAAAATCCCTGATTTGGTCCCTACTATTTACTATTTTTACCCCAATTTAGTCCTTTCGTTAAAAATCCAATGACGTGTCCTGTTAATTAACTGAAGCATGATGATGTGTCAAAATAGAATGACACCTCATATGCACACCTGTAAAAAAAGATGACATAGCAGTATGATTCGAATCCAAAATCAAAAAAAAAAAAAAGAGTGGACCCCACCTCCTGCAAAGCTTGAACTCTTCTCCCCTTTTCTTCCCATTCCCAGTTTCCAGTTCCTCATCTTGCCTAGCCTTCTTCATCAATCAATTCCTTCATCATCATGAAACAACAAGATCCACAAAAAAAAAAAAAAAAAAAACTCTTTTTTTTTTTACATTTTGCTCTCGGGTTCGTTCGAACCCAGGAAGCCAAGCGTCTTCCTGGGTTCGAATGAACCCAGGAGGACGCCTGGGTTCATCCTCCTGGGTTCGTTCGAACCCAAGCGGCGTCCTGGATTCTTTCGAACCCAGGGCTGGGTTCGACGAACCCAGGGCTGGGTTCGACGAACCCAGGCGATCTGGGTCCATCGAACCCAGGCAATCTGGGTTCGGCCTGGGTTCGACGAACCCAGGTCAGCCGAACCAAGGTCGACCGAACCCAGATCGCCTAGGTTCGTTGAACCCAGCACCAGGCTCGTCGAACCCAGGCGAACCCAGGCGAACCCAGCTGGGTTCGTTTGAACCCATCTACTGGGTTCTTCGAATGAACCCAGGCCTGGGTTCCAAGAAACCCAACGCCTGGGTTCCGAGGAACCCAACGCCTGGGTTCCGAGGAACCCAGCAGTGGCTGATGGG